ATTCTTTTCCTACTTTGGGGTAGCCTTCAAGCTTTGGATCAAGATCAAAGGCTCTGGGAGATTGCGATGAACTATTCTAATACACCAACATTGCATAGAGTCATTAAAGATTAAGTTAGTATTTTCTTTTTTGTTTCTTTTCATTAACTAGAACTTTAACATGATTGAAATATTTGAAATAAATAACCATTGGGGACTTTGACGTTCTCAATTTATAAAATCTAATTAATCTAATTCAGCAATTGCAGTCCAACTGCATATGAAAATTTTGCACTAAAATTAGTGAAGGATGTGTATGAGGACAAACACCAGTTGACTAAATTGGCGACGCCCACCCTCAGTCCGGTGGGTGATTGGTGGAGGCCACTAGGGCTGGCTTATCTGAAAGCGGCAAGAATTAGATGAAATTGTTTATGTGAAATTGAAGAAATCATTTATATGAAATTTTTTATTAAAAATGATTTAAGAAAATTTTAATTAAAAAATTTAAATAATAGATTAATAGAATTCAATGATAAAATTAATAATATATAAAAAAATTATTGAAAATGTTATTTATAATTTAAATTTTATTAATATTTGGTAAAAATTATATTAGAATTTTTTTGTAAAAATACCTATCTAAAAGAATAACGAAACTTATTAATTTTTTAAAGATTTTTGTACAATTAATTTATGTAAAAAAAGCTTTCAATCTATTAGATTTTTTATTTTTATTTTTATTTAATTGTTTTTAACAGAAAATTTCACAATTTCACTTCATCATCTTCATCTAAATCTTTTCATTTGGAAGACCCTCTTAGAAAAGGAAAATAAATTAAAATGAGATCCACTATTATATACATTTACAAAAATGTGAAGTTAGCCATGGAAGAATTTTCAAGGAGCGTGTTGCTCTATTAGTCTCATTTCAATGGATTGCAGAGACAGCGAGGAAAGGTACATGGTATATTTTTTAAAAACTTTTACTTGAAATTAAATTGCTTCTTTTGGTTTTGAAAACCATAATTACTTGATGATCAATCTTTCATTCAGCAAGTAAAGAATGGATGCTTGTTGATTTATCACAACAATCCTCTCTAAGCAAAGGATAAGAGTCGAATCCTCTATAAACATTACGTTTAGAATAACACTTAATTTATAGGTATATATATGATCCTTATAATGTATATATAAAGAAACAAGCCTTATTGATCCTACTAGGCTGCGTCTAATTAAGAAATTGTTGCCAAAACTTTTCTCCATGGCTAATCCTGTCTCCAGTAGCCTAGACGGTAGCTATCCTTAAATATCTTTGTCAATGCTTTTGTGCATGCAATACCTTGCTGGTTCAGTGTTTTATTAATTTCTGCTCATATTTTTTTGCCCTTATTGAGTTACTGTTACAAATGGTAATGACACTTCTAATTGCAGAGGTTGCGAGATCTTTATCAGAAACAGCACCGAGTCATTTGATACTAAAGATACAGTCATTTTCATTACTTATCAAAGAATGGCATGGAAAAGTATGAATCTGGAGAATTTGAAGCTCGTGGACATAAATGGTATTATTAATATCTTTTACGTGGTACTTAGCAACCTGTTGTTTTTATATGGGGAACTGCAATAGCCTAGCTTATTATTTCTGTGCGTCCTGCACCCGAATGGAAACAAAAGCAGAAATGAGAAAGAGTACCTTTCTCTCTACTTGGTTTTTGCTGATGTTACTTCTCTCCTTCGTCATAGTTGGGAAGTCCACGCTATTTTCAGGTTTTTCTTGCTTGATCAGAGCAAGGACAACTACTTGATAGTTCATGGTATTAGTTCCATGTAGCTTTATTTGCTATATGCAGTGAAACTGACAGTTTCAAAACATATATATATATATATATATATTATCTGATTTTGTAGCGGTATTTAACTTTAGAATGTATATATACATAGAAGAAGATACATGCTTTGAAATTAATTTTCTTTTTGCCATGCCTAGATGCCGAAGAAAAAGACAGGCGCTTTCACAGATTAAAGCATTAATGGGGATTTGATCAGTTCATCCCAATTAGAACGTTTAATGATGTTTCCAACGGATACCTACTGGATGACACTTGTATATTTGGAGCTGAAGTGTTTGTTACGAGGGAAATGAGCTCAGGAAAAGGAGAATGCTTATCAATGATAAAAGATGCCATCAGTACCAAGCATGTTTGGAAGATTGAAAACTTTTCCCAATTAGATTCAGAATACCATGAATCACAAGAATTTTTTGCAGGCGATCAGAAATGGTATCCATTAATAAGATACTTTTTCTTGCCCCAATCCTGTCTGATAATTTTCAGGGGCTTTTCCTTCATTTAGAGTTCACCTTCCTGATGCAGGAAAATACAGCTTTATCCGAAAGGAAGATGACATGGATCGGGCACTCATATCTCCATGTATTTGGCTTTGGCAGATTCAGCCACTGTTATGGCTAGTTCTAAAATATTTGCAGAGTTCACTTTGCGTATCCAGGATCAACAGAAGAGCAGGCACATTTCTGGAAAAGGTCTAAAAGCTCAAATTATCTATTAATAACATTCATCAAACATCCTCAAAAAAAAAAAAAAAAAAAAATCTTCAAATAAATTATATCATGGATGTATCAGAACTTAAAATTTTGTTTTTTCTTGCAGTTAGTCACTGGTTTATTGCCTCAAGCCAAGAAAGTGGTTGGGCAAATTTTGTTTCTTTTGCGTATTTCTATCATTCGGGCACTGGCTGCGTAGTGAAGAATACATGCATTGTGGAAGCAGAGGTGACTGTCCAGGCAGTTGCTAATACATTACAACTAACACATGGTATTTGTTGTATGCAAACATTTTGTTTTTATTTAAGCATGGTCACATGGTCATGTTACAGATCCATAGGAATTTTAAACAATTACAAGAATATATATATGCACATGCTTAGATGGAAGTTTAAACATACATGTACGGATTTAGCCAAAAGTTTTCTCCCCGTTGCATGTAATACATGTAGAGAAATTCATCATCATCTTAATGTGAAAGAATTATAGACACAACCCATGAGACTGGCTGCAGATAATTAGTAGTTGAAATTAAAATAAATAAATAAAATAAATATGCTTCAAATCCTCAAGAGTTTAAGATCTTGGCCCAGGGGCGGCCAGGACTGGAAGAACTACATGCTTATACATTCATTCCTCTTCATATCTTTTGAGGTCCACCCTATAATAGGGGGTTAAAAGACCAAAACAAATGATTTTAGCATTTAAAAAGGAAAACGGATTTTTTGAACCCTTTCACCGTCATGTCAAGATACGGCAAAAGAAAAAAATTATAAAATCCAATTTCATAATCAATTAGTTAACGTATTAGTTCATTGAATTCTGAAACATGATCGATCATAAATTCAGTTAAATTAAAAATTCACTATGCTTATGTTATGTGCCTGGTGCTTTTCTTTTCTGTTTTCATTTTTCAATCAGATACATAAGCTTAAAAATGGATATAGGGCAAATATAACTGGATTTAGTGCAAAATTTCGTGCCCAAAAATGCATTAACCTAACTGCTTGGGCAATTTTTGAACCATTAAGGCCGAGTAAGCTCAAATACGATTTTAGTTACCACAGGCCCAATTAATTATGCTGTCAGCCAAAATAAAATTTTCAGCCCATTAAGGCCCAGTTTGACTAATAATTTTCCATTTTGGACAAGTTTAAACCCACTAAAGCTTAGTTAGGACCAAATATCAATTAACTTACCCATTAAGGCTCAAACCCATTAAGGTTCTTCTGATCCCAAATTTAACTTAGTATTCATATCCAAATTGTCAATCCAATATGGCGCAAATAATAAACAAACTTTGTGAATCAGTTAGGTCCAAATAACTTTTCGATCCATTGAGTCCAATTAGCTCAAATTCTACTCGACTTAAAAGCTTGATCATGTCCAATTGCCTTAAAAATTAAGTATTATTCTATTACTGGACTTAAAACCTTTGTTGACAAAAAGGCTGGTTCATCAGACACTTTCAGTCACAAATGGAGATCTAAGGATATGGTACGATAGAAAGGATTATAATTTCAGCCATTGTTCTCCATCTATAAATTTCACGTCCAGAAAAGGTTTTGCTTCTTCATAGCCAAATTTTTTTTATCATGGCTCTCGGCCAGTTGTATTTGCTCCCGTTCCCGGTACTGGAATTCCCCAAATATTACATTCCTGCATATGCAAAAATTGACAATATTATATATATATATATGTGTGTGTGTGTGTGTGTGTATCAGATTTCTGCATTCAACTTAAATCTCACTTTATCAAACTAATTTTCTTGGATCGGAGATCATTGTTTTGCCTGAAAAGGGTAACAATTATAGCTCTTGAATAGTTTCCCCAAGCTCTTCCCATTGATTATGCAATTCACTAATGAAAATCCTGTAGTATCATGCTGTGAATCCCTGTGGTGAGCTGCAACTACTCCAAGTCCAAAGTTCAAACCTTTCAGCAGTTGGCTTCTTTTGCAAGGCTTCAGGGCATACACCTCACCTCACCAGGAGTAAAGTGCCATGTATTAAAGGGATCATTTCGGTAACAATTATCCAACCACAACTTGGAAAATATTAGGTAATTCAGAATTTTAGTTTCAAATCAGTAAGAGAAACTTCTATTACTGTTATTCTCTAAACATGGCATTGATAGCTACGCTACATATGCCCAGAGTTGGCGGGTCAAGAAACCAAGTGCTAAAGAAAAAATGGTGGTAGGTATAATTTGTTTTGTTTGACCTGGTGTGTCGCCGTCTATCATTATTTAATTTTGATTCCTTGCAATGCGAGTCAACTCAGCTTGAAATATTGCAAGGAAGGAATATGGAATATTTACGTTTTAGAACTTCCTTCAGAAACAGGATCACCATGTTTTACCTAATAATACAATGGTGACATATATGTTTGTATCTAGTGCACTGCTGGAACTGCAAACTAAACTAGCTCCACTGTTGTGTTGTTCTGGTCTGGTTTTTAGCAATAGTTATTCATGTCATAAAATAGACGTAATCGGCTTTCACGTTTCGCGGAAGGATGTTCCCACTCTTTCGGTTTTGGTAATTAATTCACTCTGCAGCCACTCTAAGACTTTCTTATTTGATTTTGGCATAAAGTAATTTTCTCACCTGGTTTAGCTTGATAGACCCATAAATGTACACAATATATAGAAACAAAAGTGAATAAAAATATCTACTACTATTATTCATTTAACTCCATCGTATACCAGCAGTCGAAGTAGAACACCTACCTCTTTTGAAAATTCAGTCTTCCAATAAAGAAAGCAAAAAGGGTAGCAAACAGAACAGGGAAGATAAATAGAACAACAGCTACCATGCCTAAAAAATTGTGGTGAAAACCAAAGTAATCTTCTAAGAAAGCAGCAACCGTCTTAGTTTCTCCAAAAGCCATTATTTCTTTTTCAATATCTCCATACTGCGAAGCAAGCATGCCATTAAGTGCCCAAGACGTGGGACATAAATAAAACAGCCACAGCCACCACTTTGGTATTTGCTGCAAGAAGAAAAAGGCACAGATTGAGTTGGTATTTTTCCATATTTGGCCACAACAATGCCACGATCAGCTAGAATCTTTTATCTATTCTATCAGTTTCATGTATGAGAATGGCCAGGTTCGACATGATTCTCCTCAATGCACAAACCATCATCAACTAAAAATTTTGTATGCTATTTTGCACAAACTTCATAAATTAGAAGCTTACTGGTTTTGGTAGTATGAATCCAGAAAACAAATTCATCATCGTGTAGGTAGATGATGCCACAATGGACGCCACTTGAATATTTGGAGTCAGTGACACCAGCATCATCCCCAAGTAGTTGAAGTATAGCAGCGAACAAAACATGCTGTAGAATGACCAAAATATTTTATAGGTCGACCAATAGTAGCCGATCATTGGATATGTGATGACGATATAAATAATTGCTAGGGTAAACAAGTATGGAATCTCAACAAGCACCTACAAAATCAAAAACCAAGTCATTAGGAGCAATCAAGAAGAGCCAGTACAAAAGCCCCTGATTATACGCTTGCAAAGCAATGAAAGTTCTTGAGGAAGTAGGGAATTTGTTAGACTGGAATTTAGTTGAACCTCAAACATGATTCAAATTCTCAACAACTTTACAAAACCCCAAACAAGAAGCTTCTCAGAAGTTAAAGCTAACAGAGAATAACCAAAACATATTACTACAAATGTTAATTAGAACTCCAATCTTCATTATTGGATTCCTACCGAAGGATATAAATATTTGCCTTCTCCTGTCCATTAAAACATCATGAGTTTGCACAAATCTCACAAACTTGATATTTCAAACAAAACATATAAGACATATATCTGATCCATTTGCAACCATTTAGTGGCCAAGTCCAACATCTAAATAAAATGGTCTTCCAAGACCGAAAGATCCGTGAAAATAATTGAACTGCCGGTGGTAACTGGATTCTTTTAAAGAGTTAACCAATTTCACGGGTGTGTGGACTGCAGACAGTCACATTACCTATCTTTAAATGCTTGATAGTGAGACAATATTAAAAAAGTTTTTGCGAGAAGTTTAAACCTGCGCCATTGAATAGGCCCATGAAGAGTACATTCCTGCAAATCTTTCCCGGTAAAAAACTGCACGCTCTGTTGCAACAAGTGGTAGAACTGTTGAACAATTGTTTATGCCAAAGAAAATTATGGCAGCATACATCGAACCAACTATATTGAACAGGTCTTGTTGGTTATTTCTACAAAAGAAGAAACAGACCATGAAACCAGTCCTTTCCCAATAGTATATTCAATTCATTCAACTAAATGCCATAAGCATTAATTTCCAGATTCATTGCAAAGGTTTCCCAATCATAATAGAAATGATTGTATCTAGACAGAGAGAAGAAAATAGTTTTCATTTGGAAATGCATTACTGCTTGCTATGAGCCTGCAGGGAAGATAAAGAGAGAGCAAGCAAATTTACTATTTAATAATCATTTGGATAAATAAATGTAAAATAAATAAGTGCAATTCAATTTTTTGAGGAAAATGTCTGCATCAATAAAATTGTATTTACTGACATTTTCTTTCCTTGCTGCCAGAATAGTATGCCAAACAGCAGAGACGAGGCAGACATAAAAATGATGCGCGTCAAATTGTAAGAAGGACTTCTCCAATAAGACAAAAACTGTTTCCACAGGCATGCTTTGAACTGTTCCCAACCATTCTGAGGGAAGCGAGTCGGAAAATATAAATCTGTTGAACCAGGAGTCGGTGAGCTCAACCGCTTAATCAACTCCTTATTTTCCCTATAGTGACATACCAAAAGAGTCACATGCAAGGCTAAATTTAAGATTGCCATATAAGTTGAATATCATTTACAAGCTCTATGCATTTTATTGATAATTATTTTCTAAGTTACATTATCTTGAAATATTACACGGCAAAAATTTTGCTTGTTTTCTTTTTCCTAGTAAACTTTCAATAAGCGAAATGTAAGAAACAACCTACCATAGATCCAGAATCCTGCTTTGATACATATTTATGATAAAGAGCTGCAGCGTTTGTTGATTCCCTTCTTTATGCTTTTAAAAAAAACCCAGTAATTTTCTTAAAAGCAGAAGATAAAGTATAATAGTATCTTTACTTACTTATACAAGGTTGAGCCCTCATAAATTTGCGCAAAATCTATACCAATTCCAGCCTCTATTGATTTAGTAGTAACTTCCAACATCCATGTTGCTGGATTATAGTTATCTTTAATCTTGGGCACTCCAGGGACATTCTATAGCAATAATAGGAGAAAGACTAACAGCTTCAGGACTGAAATTGTGTTTCTCAGAGACCACAAGTATTCCATCTCAGACAATAATGGGAAACTACAACTGTTATAATTCTGAAAGATGACTGACCTGAAAGTATTCAATAACCCTGCTGGAGCTTTCACCCAGCGGGCCAGAATAGATAATCCGTCCCCCAGTTTTCATCAAAATCAACTGCAAGAAGAGGAATACAAATGATTTTTCTCTTTTTCTCATTTTCCCAAAATGGAGTCAGAACTTGTAACCTTCTCATCGGAAGGTGTGAAGACAAGCTAAAATTTCACGTTAATCCCTTTTTTAAAAAAAAAAAAATGAGAATGTATACAAATTACTCTTACCTCATCAAATGCCTCAAATATGTCAATACTTGGTTGGTGGATGGTGCAAACAACTGTCCTTCCCATTTCAACAACATTTTTCACTGCTCTCATTACAATTGCAGCCGCTCTTGCGTCTAATCCTGAAGTAGGCTCATCCATAAATATGATAGATGGATTGGCGACAAGCTCCACAGCTATGGTCAGCCTTTTCCGCTGCTCAGTTGATAACCCATTGACTCCTGGTATGCCTACTAAAGTATCTCTTACCCCATCAAGCTCTATAGTTTCGATAACCTTATTAACAAATTCCTGAGGAGGAGTAGGAAAGTTTTTGTAGAATTCAATTCAATAATCAAATGCAGCATCAGATTAAAAAAAAAAATTGTTCATTCATGGTCTGAAGAGGGTATCATACAGCCTTAGTTTTTGAATCAATCTGAGATGGAAGGCGCAAGGAAGCAGAATATACTAGTGATTCTTCCACAGTGATTAGAGGAGAGTTTATATCATTTTGCTCACAGTAACCTGATACCCTTGCAAATGTATCTTGAGCCTTTGGGTACCCACCAATTCTAATATCTCCTTCAATAAAACCACCAGTTTTCCTTCCAGAAAGAACATCCATAAGAGTTGTTTTCCCTGCTCCACTGACACCCATCAATGCTGTCAAAACACCTGGCCTGAATGCACCAGTAATGTCGGAGAGAAGCTGTAGCTTTTTATGCTTATAACCTCGTTCTTTCATTTCCTGAGACAAAATAATGACATTATCAACTTAAGAATAAGAACTGACAAGTGACAACTACATGAAAGATAAGTGTAAACCAGCTTTAAAATATCTACCAATGGGGTGTCTACATAGTACTGCACATCCTGAAACGTTAATGTTAACGGCTCAAAAGGTAAAGCCATTTGTCCTGTGTAATTGCAAATAACAGCAGTAAGACAAGTGGGAAGACATATATGATATATCCGCACTTAAGATTTAATACCATGAAAGATACATAATCAACATATCTGATGTGGTGGACAATAAGAATTCTATTATCATGCTCACCACTTCCTGATCCTGAAATATTTCCTTGATCAACGGTGGGTTTACTTTCGTCTTGTAAACTATCTTTGTCTTCTTTATTTCTGTGTAGTTGAGAGTACTTTTCAAAAGAAATAATAGCCTGAGACTTTCCTGGAGCTGAATGCATATATAAATGTATAGCTTAGTACATATGCAGAAAATGTTTTGCTTATTAAAGAGCCTACTGATTAGCAGAAGATGAACTTACGCTGCAAGAAAGTCAAAGCAAAGGTAAAACCAACATTGAAAAATAGCATGAACCCAAATAATGCTGCAATTGATATCCAGTAAAAGTAGCTATCAAAGCCCAATCCTCGACTTTCTAGAGTTTGTTGCCCTAAGCTTGTATTTCCAGACATTACCTGTAAATACAATTGAATAGAAAGTGATATCCACTTACAAATGAATAAGTGTTGAAGTTTGATAGGATCAGAATCATCCTCTAATCAGATCTTACGATAAACATAAGAATGTAGTTTCACCAAAATAATCTAAATAATATAGAAAGGAATATATTTCCAAACACTTGTTAGCGTCTGCTTTTTGAATCCGAACAGAGATTTAAGAAATCCAAACTGTGATTTTTGGAACAGCTAGACATTACCTTTTCCCACCGAGGAGCAAGAAATTCATTCACAGTTAGGCCTATCTCACCATACGTCAAAGGAGAAAGCCAAAATCCCCATTCCAGCCAACTAGGCAGAGATGCTGCAACCAATAAAAGTGGGAATTAACAGAAAATTTAGCTTTTATTTGAATAAATATCATTCACATTAAATAGAAAAAAGCTTGTAGAAATCTTACGTCTCGGGAGAATGAAGCCACCGAACAGTAAAATAATCATAATGGCCAAAGCACCAACTGTTGTGGAAGCAACTATAGTTTGGAACAGCGAGGCAATACAACGAAACATGGATATTGATGCTAGGTGCACACCAAAATATAGAAGGAATTGGCGGAAGAACCTAACAAAAAATATAACACACACCAAATTACATCATATATGAAATTTAAAATTTCTAACATTAGCCCTAAGGGAAGGAGAAGTGGTCAACACAGAAGTTAAATTCACTTGTGGTTTTCTTGAATTTGATCCATGTCTAAAAGTGTCACTTAATACCGAGTTAAATGATTAAACTCATTAATGCGGCACCCATGAATTTAGTTTAGATGTTGGCTAACTTCCATATCATTGTGCCACATTGCCAGTATATGACTTTAGCTTGTCTTTAACAACAAAAGTTTTCTAAATGCTGCTGACCTTCCAACCTCAGGGCTGTAGCCTATGACATAATAAGTCATAGACGTCCACACAAAGGACTCCAAAAGTGAAAGTGGAAATTTTAGGATTGCTGCAGGAATCGCATAAGCCCAAGCAGGGTAGAAGCACAACTCTCTCTGCTTGTAGAATACTGCAATTCTTGAAACAGTCATGCTCAATTCTGGAAACCCGTCAACAAGAAGTATCACAAGGGCATAAAACAAAGAACCCATAAAATAACTTGAATGGATGGCATCAACAGCCATTCGAGTGCGCAGGAAAACTGTCATTGTTATTGAAGCAATTATGACAAGCTGCAGAGAGGAATAATCCAATAATATTGCTTTCAGCTATAAAGGTAACCATGTAAGCTGGTCATAATGACGAAAGTACAAAGCAAAACAAGAAGTAAATTACCTGTACAGCTTTAAACACGTAAGTAAAAGAATTTCTCTTCATTAGAAGTAATTCTTTCATTGAGCAAGCTTTAAACAGCTCCCATTTATTCAGGGAGTATGATTTGAAGGATAGAGCATTTCTGTGGCTTTGAGACTTGTGAAATGGTTTTGAGAGCTCCTCATCTAAATTCTGGCCAATATGACATTCTTTGAATCTTTTTATGAACTGGTCAACAGAAACATAACTGTAAGGTTGCTCTTTATAGAACCAATACTGCGCTTGATCTTTTCTTGAGATTACCTGAGCCAGATAAAGGGAAACCATCTAAGAAATGAATGAAAACATGGAAATAAGACAACTATGAATCTCATAAGCATACCTCCTGAAGGAAGTCAGCGATGCCCTTTCTTTCCGGACACTTAAATCCACAGTCCTCAAAGAATTTGCAAATGTAAGTGCGTGGGCCTTGATACACAGTTTTCCCTTCCGCCATCAGAATAACATCGTCAAAGAGATCAAACGTCTCCGGAGCAGGCTGAAGAAGTGATATCAATGCAGTAGCATCATTAATATGCACCAGATGCTGAAGGTAGGACACGATTTGGAAAGTGGTTGAACTGTCTAGGCCATTTGATATTTCATCCATGAACAAAGCTTTTGTTGGCCCCACGATAATCTCGCCTGCACTTAGAGAAAAACTTAATAATCATACCCAACTCAACCCCTGCTCAATTAATTCCACAACAGCACAAAAAACAGAATTCCTGCCAAAAAATGACCGAATGCCATAAACTACTTTGTCTACCCTCAAACATACATTACCTGTTGTCAATCTTTTCTTTTGACCACCTGAGATACCTCTTCTTATGGTATCCCCAACCATGGTGTCAGCGCAGATGTCTAGTCCAAGAATCTGAAAATACCTTTTTTCTTTTTTAGATGTGCTTGTACAGCCATGTTTCAAGAAGAAATTACTAAAATATTAAGCTCTATAAAAGAGAAATGGCGAACTACCTTTAAAATATAATCTGTTTGGAGAGTACTTTCCTGACCTTCAACTGATATTGCCTGTCAAATAGTTCTAAGTAATGGTTAGACTAGTAGAATACAAAACACTCTGAGAAGTATATAATGCATTAAGAAAACTGTGAGAAATTGTTCTCAATTGTGAATTGAAACAATAATTTTCTCCTTTTATGAGTAAAACTGTAACAGAGACTCCGATCCTTGATAAAGCTAATTTGTAAAAAGCAGATTGAACCTTACTTTAATGCTTTCTTCAGTTAGTGACGAAGGAAATTAACATAATATAAGATGCCAATCTCATGGTGCATCATGCCAAGAAATACACTTTGCATGCAACAAAGTATCAACTTCTTATCCAGGATTAAAGTCCTCTAAAGCATACATATCACTGTGCCCAGCATGAATTGATGAGAGAAGACAAATTCTAACAGTTTAATTTTAAGGCATTAAATCTTCTTCCTTTATCAATTTCGTGCTTGTAAAAGAAAGAATCCCATCTCTCCCTTCCCTCTTCCCCACTTTGGCCTAGTTCAAGTGTACCCCCCCCCGGCAAAAAAAAAAAACTCCCTTCTGATTTCTGAACAAACTACAAGGTGCAACACAGTGATCGTACATATATTTCAGTAAATTATGGAACATTGCCTTTGCTATCAAGAAATCTTATGACCTTCGAAAAAATAAGAAAGCTAAACGGTTACCTTCATGTAAGCATCTATGTCAGGATCAGGGACTATTCCCGCCTGCTTCTCTCTTCTGCTGACTTCTTTTATGATTTCTTTGTACACATGAAAAATTTAAATACAACACACACTAAAAATTACTGAAACAGTACCGGTTGAGAACCTGACAAGACAAAGATATTTACATGAAAATCATCAGTAATATCTATCAAGGAGCTCTTACCAGCTCGACTTCCTATTCCCTGAAATCGTGCAGAAAAATCTAGTACTTCCCTAACTGTCATCTCTGGGGTATGCAGATCATATTGGCTTATATAAGCGGAGGTTTTCCAAGGAACAAATTCTTCTAGTCTGAAACCATTGTAAGTTATTTCCCCTGCTACCTTTAAAGGAACAAGGAGTAAAGAGTGAAAAAAATTATAAGCAAGCGCACGATTGGCTTGGTAATCAAGATCCCACTAAGCACTAGTGGCGTAGAGTACCCTGTGGTAATGTCATTCAAATCCTATAGTTTGCAAAATATTCAGCTATGCACATACAGAAGAGTAATTCTAGGAAAACAAGTTAAACCAGTGAACCAAGATCTACAAACAAATATGACCATAGGAAAAAGACGAACACACGTCCAACAGCCAAGCAGAATCATAGTCACACTGGGCGATGGTATGTTTTTCATGAGAAACTCCTAAAATGTATTTACTTCAGGGAAGCTTTGTGAAAAATGCAGCATAGAAGTTATGAAGTTACCCAAGTCCTAACCAACCAAATTCAAATTAACATTTTCCAAGGTTCTTAGGGTTGTAAGAACAATGCAGAATTACTGAATTCAGTTTATACAAACATTGAGATACCAAGTAAACACCGGAAGGGCTGAACCAAGCTCCAGAACATTCTTAAAGTGAACTTTGGCCTAAATATGGTGAATTATACCTAGAAGTTTTCTTATTTTTTCCCCGTAGACTCTTTTATTTTCAATTTGTAACTGCATCATGCTCATGCAACAATTAACACTTCAAAAATTTTCTAAGAAGACATTAAAATCAGCAGACCTTAAGAGAATGGCTTAGTTTCCCAGAAAGCGCCAGCAGTAATGTGCTTTTGCCACATCCTGGAGGGCCAAGCAATAAAGTCATTCTGCATGGAAAATAAATGAGATTTAGTCAACTCAGGTAGGATATGCAGAATGTTTTACTCAATTAAGCAGAAAAGTAACTCCTTCTATCCTTCAAAAAAATTTGTTTTCCTTTATTTATTCCTTATATATGACAAATATAAATGATTTAACATACAAGGGAAAACCACCTTGGCCGTAGGAAAAGCTAGAGTATGATCACTAGTGAAGAAAAAACAGAAACAAAAGCATACATAATTTATGCATGAATGTCAATGTGTATATAGTGCAGCTTTGAGCTCAATCAAGGTCATTCTATCCCGTGAAAATGTCAATTCATTCCATCAACAAGCACCAAACCTGGCAAAGACAACCAGACACTATAACTTTCCCTCTAGAACACAGATATTTTAGGGCATCAGAGAAAGAGTTCGTCGAGCATGTCTGGCTATAGGATTAACTAAAAAACTTATCAACTTCTGAGCACACCATGGGTCTACCTTCCTGGTTTAATGATGCCGCTGACATCTTTTAGGATGTTTATCTTGACTTCTTGTTTTGAACCAAACAGATTGATCAAACCCTGCACAAACAGGAAAAATGAAACTTAACAACTTAAAAAGGAAAAAAGAAAACACCCTGATTTGAAATTTCTGAAGTGGGTTCACGGTGATAAAGGACTGATCAACTCCCCAGGGCGTTTGATTATGGCAGAGCATAGCAACTAAAAAACTAGGTTACTAGATGGTATAAATATAATCCACAGTTGGGCCTGGTAATGCTTATTAAGAAAAATTAGTATTCAACGATTCATGGGTTCAAATAAAAGCAGAATAGTCAACACTGCCTTCTGTGAAAGCTTGAGCCATATCAGGATTTGTAATCATCGCGCTTATAATGAAGGAAAAAAGTTTGTAAGCTCTGAAACGTCAAAAGCTAAGAAGGATGATTTCCACATCTATGATTAGTTAGAGAAATTAATCCAACTAATGAGCACGGGTACTCACTGAAAGCATGCTTTTAGTGGCGTTCCAGAGAGTGGGAAGAGGCTTGCCATGAACTAACTGGCATTCTGCTTCGACATAGAGATTCTTATATCTTACTTCCACAGTTGGCAACTTTACCCCTACCCTGAAGAACAAATTCAGTTGTAAATCAGAATCAACGTAGCGACATGTTCTTTGTTAGAAAAAAAAAATTCTAATATCTATTTCACCTAGTTACACTAGAAATTCAACTTAAATTTATTTTATGTATCTATGAATCTAATTAATTGAATCTAATAATCTATGAATATAATTAACTATAAATGAATGTGTCTCATTTCTAGTATAATTTGTATTTAATATTTTGAGTTTCGATTCATCCATAAATCTTCTCTTTTCTTGGTTGTGTGAATTTTTGCCAGTCCTACCACTTTCCAAACAGTTATATAGCTATGTATTTAAAATGGAAGTAAATGCGTGTCAAAGAGTGAGCAAGGACAAAAGAAAGGATTATGGTTACTTGTCAATTCTGTCTCTGAGTTTCTGCAACAACCGCAGGTTATCATTTTCGATTTGTTTGATGAGCTTCTCTACGAACATGTGTCGCTCATCAGCTCCAAGTTTGGTAACATTAACAACCCGTTTCCCTTTGATATTTCCATTGCCTGACGTTCCATTCTCTTCCTTGTCGTCAAACAAAGCAGTAGTAATCCGCTCGAACGTCGGTAATCTCTGAACTGCAGCCCATTGCAACGCATATTCATCATCATCATCATCGTCATCGTCACCTTTACTTTGATGTGCACAAATCACACTACGGAAACTTGACGCATGACTTCTGAAGGAGGACCTGGTGCTCCTTCCGATCTGCGCTAACTCAATTCGCAAAGATTCTATCTCGTCAGGACCCACCAGTTGAGCCATTTTAGGGTAGGATTTCAAATTCATGGAAAGTAGTTAGAGCAAGAAAGAGAGGAGTGCATATGTGAGTGTATAAATACAGATATTTCTCCTCGAATCGTTAGTCTGATATGTTGAAAGGCATGAACTGGAAGTTGATGAGGTAATGCAATGCGTCATGGATCATGGCTGAAAATGCTGCGAGCAAAAATGAATTGTATGATGAGCATCTGTGGCTATTGCATGCCAGTTTGATTCCTTACATATTTGTTGACGTTAGAGAGACTGTTAAATAAATATTACGAAGAAACAAAACTTTTAGGAATGGTAGTATTAGTATTTTAGTCCATTTTTAAGTTAAGGGAATCCGTTAAAATATTTGATTAAGTTTAGGATTATTATTCGACTCGCACTTCAATTAAATAATCAATATCAGTTAAATATTTAAATTCATTAAAATATATTATTACTTAAAATTTTTTTAAAATATAAAAATTAACCAAAATTAAATTTAAAATTTAAATTCTCTCATAATTAATAACAAATAAAAGTTGTTCTCTAAGTTTTGAATCTTCAACACAGAAAATTTTATATATTTTGCACATATATAAGTAACAAATTTAGGTACAATTTCGAATACTCAACATTATTCATTAAAATTTAAAACGATTAGGGTATTAAATATTATTATTCAAATTTTATCGATCTAGCATAAATAGTAGACTTTTTTTTATTCAACTATAATAGTTATTAATTTATAAATATCTAAATCTAATAAAATAAAATAAAAAATCGCATTATTTACTATCACTGCCAACCTTAAAAAGTTTTAAGTTTTAAGAAAAGCATCATATAATATTTAGACCGGCGAGGATCATTCCGTTTGAGCAATAATGCACAAAAACTTTGGAAAATTTTATTCCCTTGAATTTCAGCTTCTGCAGCCTACGTCATCAACAACTTTTTTTAAGATCTTTGCAATCACTCAGATGACATAGGCACCTTCTTTGAGTTGAACATATTAACATATTATAGTTTATATCTGCGTGTCGCAGTCTGTATGATATCCAATATTAACCATCAGCAACGGTAGATCTTGCTTTTACCTGCAAGACTAGCGAGACCGTACGTGTCAATAAATGGACTCATCAAACATCTGCCCTTCAGTTTTAACGTACATTTAATTCGTATATCAGGAGCAGGTTCTAACAACATGCGATACCACTAAAAATTATAAGTTTTGATTAGGAAGTTTGGAAATTTTATTTTATAAAAGATATTTTATAAATATAAATTTAGATTTAATATGTGACAAATTTTTTTGTTAAAATTTAATATTTGTGTCAAGTCTAATATAGAATCATACAAAAAAAATTTTTGGATAAGTTGTATTTTATTTATCCAAAAAAGCAATAAAATTGCTATAATACATACACTCCATATATACAATCAAATCATATTCTAACTATTATGTAATATAGTTTTTTTTATATTCTAAGTATCACACAAAACCTTGTTGATTGGGTCAGCAACAATCGAATGCAATCCAAGTAATCGAACGCTAACAGCTTCCTTAATCAGCTCATATACTTGTTCTTCTGTTCCTTTTTTATTCTTGAATAATCTACAATCCCTTTCTCTCCATATATAGTATATATGAGTATTTCAAGAAATGTGCAATATTACTGATATCAGTGCTTTGCTTTTTATCTTTGTCGTTGCCCATTTCAATTCTTTAATCCATTCCCCGATACTCTGTCAATCTTGCATGATTGTAATACCTTTTTCCACACCATTTTTGCATATTCAAAACTAAAAAATAAGTGGTCCCTGGATTCCTTCCCATGTTGACATAGGCAGCACCTTTCATCCACCTCCACTCTCTAATTCCTCAATCTATCTTTTGTTGGAAGCCTATTTAGTATAGTCATCCATGCAATCATCGAGTGCTTTGGGATATGATATTGAAATCAGATTAGTCTGTGTCACTCAACCTTCATTTGCTTAGACCTTATCTCATTCCAAACCACTATAATAAAATAGCTATTACTAGGGACAAGCCACACCTCAATACCATTTTCCTATTTTATGAATTGGCGTCCAATAGTCCAGAGTTGAAGTAGTTTCCTCTAGCCTCAACTATTACCTTGCTGTGGTTTAACTTACTATATACTTTTGCCTTTCGAGACATAGGCTTCAATCCAAGCTATCCATATAGATCCTGCTTTTGAGAAAATAGACCAAATATTCCTTATCATGCATGCCTTGTTCCAAGTTAGTGTGTTTTTGATATCCAACCATTTTTCAGACTTAGGGTGGCAAACGACTTCCAAACTGACTTTAGCTCCTCTAACAGTCCCTTTCTGACCTTTCCAAAGGAAGCTAGAGCATAGCTGATTAATCTTTTTTAACACATGCTTAGGCAATATAAAATGTTTACACTAATAATTATGTAAGCTAAAGAGTACTGACTGGATAGCTGTAGTATTTCTGCATAAGATAAGTACTTACTAGTCTATCCTTTAATCCTAACCGTGATCTTCCCAAGCAATGGAGCATAATTTTTTGCAATGAGTCTTTTGGTGACTAGTAGGACTCCTAAATATCTAACAGAGAGTAAGCCCACTTTGAATCTTACGGCTTGTTGAATTGATTGGATCTCTTTCCTGCCTATTCTTATGGCATGTATCTCACTCTTTTCGTAATTTAGTTGTAGCTCTAAAAACAAGTAAAAAGCTTGCATAACCTTATTGACACCAATGATTGAATCCTTGTTTCCATTTACAAAAATCAACAAATCCTTCCCAAAACATAAATGTGTCAGTTTGATTTTTTTGCACTTAAGATGATAAGCAAACACTCTAAAATTAACAGCTTCATCTAGCATTATTGATAACATATTCATCACTAGAACAAATAGATATGGAAAAAGTAAATCCCTTTGCCTTATTCCTCTAGCTCTTTGAAAATAGCCCACTAGCCTTTCATTAAGTGATATAGAAAACATTAGGGTTGTAATACAATTGTTGATCTAGCCTATAAATTTTGAAGGCAATCCAATGGCTGCCAAAATGTTATGGATAAAATTCCAATCCAATGTATCGAAAGCTTTTTGCAACTCAATAGTTATAGCACACCTTAGGGATTATGTGGTTCTACCATATCCCCTTACCATCTCCTATGCCATAAGCACATTATCTGTGATGCTCCTCCTTTCTATGAAAGCACTTTGACTTTTGCTTTGATATTTGGCATGATATTTTTAAGCTTATTTGCTAAAATCTTGGTAATGCACTTGTAAATGATAGTACAACATGATATGGGCCTGTAATCTCTAATCGTACTTGGATTTGCACACTTTGGAACTAATGTGATAATGGTTGATTTAAATGCAAAAAGTATATGCCTAGTAGAAAAAAATGCAATATAGCATTTGTAACATCCTCACCAACAATAGACCAAAATTGCTTGAAGAAATGGGTTATGTATCCATCAAGACTAGGAGCTCTTTCACTATTCATAGAGAATATAATAGTTACGATTTCTTCTTTCGACACTAGGTTTATGAGTGTATTTTGATCCTTAGAAGATATTGACGTTTGAAGAAGTTTAGTCAAAAATTCTTGTGAACAAACTTTAACTTTCTTATCAGGTGTACCAATCAATTTTTGAAAAAATGATACTACTTCCCTGGAAATTTATGAAAATTTTCCTAGTTTATTCCCTTCAGCATCAACAAGTACTTTTGTCGAGCTTTTTTTTTGTTTGGCCGTAACCATCTTATGAAAGAATCTTATGTTTTGGTCTCTTTCTTGTATCCAAGTTATCTTGGATTTTTACCTATAATAACTCTCTTCAGCTTCCATTAACTCATTTAACTCTTCGGATAAGGTGCTTTCATTTAATCATTTCAATGCTTGGAGTAGTTGTCAATATTTCTATCTTTACAACCTGCACCTCTTTTTTTTTCCCCACTTTTATTGTTACATCCCCATAGTGCAAGTTGTTGTATTTTCTTAACTCCAGCTTCAATCTTTTTAATTTCTTGTGCAATTTAGACAATGGGTTTCCTGTCACTGGCAGTTTCCAAGATTTTTCAACTATGTTCTTAAACTCTTAGTTCTTCGTCCAAAAATTAAAAAAATTAAATGGTTTGGGAGGGGAATACCAAGCCATATTAAGTTTTATCAGTGCAGCACAATTGTCTAATTTTAAGAGCAATGAACTTCACCTATGATTTTGTAAATGTAGTGAGACATTAGTCATTTATTAATACCCTATCCAACTTTCTTGCTAGATGGCTTTCTTGCTGATGATTAGTCCACATGAATAGAGGCCCAATTACTACACTATCAAACAATGCTAGTTGAATCATGCAATCATGTAACTCTTTCATCTCTGAATTAGCTATTTTAAAGCCATTGAAATCTAAACTCTCTGAAAGGTATGCAATAACATTGAAATCACTAGTTAGGATCTAGGGACTATCAAAAATTATTCCTCTTAAAGATAGCAAGTGTGACCATAGCCTCTTCCTCTCAACTCTATTATTACTCCCATAAATCATACATAATTAAGATCACATCAAATATTAAAAATTTAAAAATAATTTTATTTATAGTATTTAGTTTTCCTAAAATTTTAAAGTTAATGTTTAATTGATGATTGCTCTAACATCATTATGAAAATCCATATCCAACATATAAAACATTACCTATTTTAATTTAAAATTTTCATAATTTTATCTTATAAAAAAATCTCACAAATATAAATTTAAAATTTAAAATATATAACATAACATATCCTTACAATTACTTAGGTGTCAAGCAAAACAAACTCCGTGATGGCTAATAAGAAATTAATCTTGTGTGTAGTCAACATGCAATATGTCAAAAGTGAGGGGTAAGTGTAGTCCATAAACAATTAGTACACAGTTATTTTTAATGTCTTCTCTTTGGACTTGGGTGATCGGATTGGACTAGGAGAAACTTCTATCCTTTCCTCTCTCTAGTTTGTTTTCTTTATCCAAAGTCTTAAA